AGAAGAGGAAGAAAGTTTGTCAGCGGGATATTCAAAAAAGTGAGGTGGGAAGGTGCTGAGAGAAGGTGGGTTTTTTTGTGTTGCCCTGAAATTAATAGCTGTTTGGTTTGACGGCGCGTGGGTTTTTAAGTAGCGGGAAAGACGTCTTCATCTGAAGCGAGACGATACGTAAAAAGGGGAGATAAAAGCCTTTCCAAGTTGTTGGCTCGGAAATGATTAACGACCTGCGCTGGGGCTGCGGCTTCTCGTGGGTGGTAAGAGGAGGGGAAGGGAAGGCGCCGAAGCGTCGTTCGCTCACCCGTACGGGCTGGGAGGAACAGAATCTGGTTTGCTCGGGTGAGACGGGATCGGTTAACCAGCCTGAGAGCTCGCACCCTAGAATTTTGTGCCCTCCACGCGCAGTCCCTTTAGTTTGGGGGGGGTGTTTTTTGTGTTTTTTTTTCTTTTAAATCTCCCTTTCAGTCCGTGCACTTGAGTTATATGAAGCCACGACGGGCTGTGAGCTCTCACACGCGATAGCTTCCGCTTGGAGTGTTCCAGCTGGGGCTGTAGGATGCCCCAAACTATTTTAGGCTTTAAAAAGTCAACGGGCTCCCTAAAAAATACGAGAAGATGACTGGAGAGGTGTTGTACTTACCAGTTCCTCTGAAATAAGTGATGGCAGGTGCTCTGCGATACACACGTTACGCTGGAGGGCGATGGATTTCTGAGAATATCTGATCCTCTCGAGCAGGACTAAAGCCACCGCTCCGTCCTTCTGGCTCCGCGCGCCAGAAAACAAATTCTCCGCGCCAACGAGCAGATGAAAGAGCTCTTGGCTGCCTGGTTTTTATAGCTCCGTAAAACCTGTTATTTGCACACCTAGAAAATGAAGAGAGACCGGTGAGTGATGGACGCGGGCAACTTCAAGATGAGGAGAGTGTCCCGGAGGAAAATCTTCCCGTAAAGAACTCCCAGACACTTATTTTCTTTTATGCTGGTTGCTTCTCCCGGCTCCATCCTTCAGATATTCATGAGACGCGTGAAGGGATTTGTTTTTTCCAGCCCAGAAATAATCGACCCGTGGTTGTAGTAGGATAATTATTAGCTGCAATAAATCCCTTGCTAGAGGAATCTTAGGAAAGATACTTTCTCCCAGAGACCGGTGCTTTTAGAGCTGCTTGGTCTGGTCTTAAAATAAAAATAACCCCCTTGCACGTGGCCCTGTCGAGGGAGCTGCTCAAGAGATTAATTTGGGGTTTATTCGTACTTAGGGCCAGTCGTACAGGGCGACCCAAGGAGCACGTGCACGGGATATCGCTCCGCAGACGAGAAAATATGGATTTCCTTCGCACCCACGGCTCAGCTAATAGAAGATTTTAGCTTTGCCATCCTTTTGTGCGCCAAAAGTTAATTTTTCAGCGTCCCGAAAGCTGGGTCTGGGGAAAGAATCGTCGGAGGAAGGATGAACTTTGGCGCTTGGCCACCTGGGCTTAAAAATCCATTTAATTCCCCGTGCCTCTCCTTGTTCTAGTGTTAAATACGGCCTAAATAGTTTAATATGGATTTATGTAATGAGCTCACCCATTGATTTTTTTCGCAGCAGTTTCGAGTTTAGGAGCAGACGGTCCCTTGTTAAGATCAAAGCAGCGCTCCTGCCTTCTGACACCGCCGAGTGCGGGCTCGGGGGCGAAGCTGATGATTTATTTCTCATTTCTTTTCCTTCTGATGTCGATTCAGACCTGGTAGGACTTTGTCAGTTTGCGTATTTATTTACATCTGTGGGGAGCAGAGAGCAACGAGGGGCCAAAAGTATAATTACTCCTAAGCAAAGCCTGAAGGAAGGGAGCGAGGACATTTCTTCTGGGAACGCAAATGTCATCTCTGAGTGACAGGGGAGGAAAAGCCAAACCAAAACGGGCTTCTCATGCTCTCCCCCTTCCTCTCCTCCGTCTCTTCCTTCTCTCCCAGGCCTCCCCCACCCCCAGTGAGGAATAATTTCAAGCCCCTTGTTGAAACATGAATTATTTAGCTCGAGTGGAAGGCTCTTTCTTGGAAGTTTGGGAGCTCAATCGTCGAGCCGGCGCATCTTTCATCCGCCCCTTCCCCTGCCTGGCTCGGTGGCCTTGGCTCCCTGTAATTGTAATTGGTGTCTGGCTTGGAATGATGGTGTCAGCCCATCAGTTCAGGGTTTAGAGCCGTGCATTGGATAGCCAGATTTGTAATTATAATGTGCTTTTTGCTCCTATTTATATTCAGCAGCGTTCTCGCCTTGCTCTTCCTTTCCCTGGGCTGGGGAGAGGGCGGCTCGGAAGCGCTGAGAACCATTATTTGTTCCGAAAACACCCTCTTTCTCTAAAGAACGGAGGACCAAGGCGAGCAGCCAGCAAATATTACCCTTTGCTGGCCTGCAGCACGTCCTCTGAAATCAATCCTGTCGAATTTACTCGTGCTGCGTTAAAAAAAAACCAGAATTTTCGGTGCTGGGATAGCTGGCGCAGCATTCCCCGCACTGCCAGCCAAGGGGTCGGGCTGCCGGGCCCCGGATTTCTCCTGCTCCGGCCTCATAAAGATGATTATTTAACGGTCCTGTTGGCCTCAGGTGCTTCTGCTTTCAGACCACAAACAGCAATTTGCAGAAGGCGGCAAGCCGGTACCGCCGGCGCGGAGCTGAGGTGCAATTTCTGTATCTACTGTGGTTTTCCTCGCAATGGTACAAGTGAATTCTGGAAAGGTTTCATTAGGTAGAAAAAATCGAGCTGACGGCGCTTAGCAAGTGCTTCGTTTCCGTGTGTAGGATATTAATTTAATATTTTTCTTCTTTTGAGTTCATCACGTTTTTCCCTTTGAAGGATTTCGCTTTCCCCTGCGCCTGCTTCTTGGAAATTCTTGAAGGTAATTCTGTTTCCCTCAGAATCGCGCCGGCAGCGCTTTCTGCCTAATGGGATTTGAGCCTTTAATCCCACCAGAGGTGTCCTAATCCTGCGGCGGATTTGGAGGCGAGAGGTGTTCCCGGGTCGTTTCCTTTCATATCCGTGGAGCTCCCGCCTCCGGAAAAAAATGGGAGTTAGAGCAAAGACGAGGTGCAAGGAATTCCCATGTTTCTCCGCTGAATTTCCCCGAGCCCTGCTCAAGAGTTAGGAGATGCGAACAGTTTCATCGCGACGGTCGGCGGGGTTTTCCTTGCCGAAAGTTAACGTGTGTCCTTCGGGTGGCAACAGCTGTCGGCGGATGAAACCGTATTTTGAGATGAGGAAAGCAAAATTTCCCTGCTCGAGTGGCATGGGAGAAGGGAGAAGGCTTTTTGAAGCATCTGTCGCAGCTCTTAAGCTTGGAAAGAAATAGGAATTGGATAAGGAATGGGAGAACCAGGTGAGGTTGGATGCTTTCTGGGAATTGTTCGAAGAAACGAGAGCCTGACTTTGGTAAAAAGGGAAAAATCAACCTGCTGATCTCCCCCAATGAAGATATTTTTCTGACCTGCTTAATAACACCGCCTCGAAACCAATTTTGGGGGTTTTTATGCTGAAGCCTGCCGGGTCGAGGCCTCTTGAGCCTCCTGGCTTAATAACTTCTCGCCTGCGCCGCCCAGGGTGATTAAAATATATTTAGTAGTCGGGGATTTAGATCCTGACCTTCTCTAATTATTGACACCTATTTAATTTCTCCTTTCATCCGTGGCCAAGCCCGGGCCAGCTGCTGGGGCACTTGTATATCCATCATTGTTGCCAGCCCCAGCTGATTGGCATTCATGCTCGAGCGTCTTTTTTATTTTCTCCTTGGATGCCGGGAGCAGCCCGAGTCGCTGGGAAACTAAAGAGCTTCATCTATTAGGCGTGACAGATTTGTATTCAGCGGTAAATGCCTGACCTTGCTCAAACTCCCTCATCCATTCCCATCATCCCCCTCCCAGATGAAAGATTCGCCTTCGCTCCTGCTTCCCGTCTGTCGCCTTGGAAACGGCGACGAAGCCACGGGAGAATCGCTAAAGAGGAAAAAGAACGCCGGGGGAAAAAGAAGGAAAGAAAACGGCCGCGACGCTTTTTCTCGAGGAGATAATGGTTTAGCTTTACGTTTCCGCGCGGCTCGAGCGCTCAAAATCGGTGGGTTTGGCGTCGCCGCGACGCGTTGCTGCCCTGCCCTTCTCCCGAGTTCCAGCTGCAACGGAGGAGGTTTCGACTCGACAGTAGGAAAGAAAAAATGTTCACAGCGAGAGTAGCCAGACGTTGGAATAGGCTGCCCGGGGAGGAGTTAAGTCCCCGTCCCTGAAGGTGTTTGAATGTCGTTTAGATGTGGCGTTGGGCTAAATGGTTTAGGAGTGAGCTTTGTCGAGCAGGGTTCATGGTCGGACTCGATGATCCCAACATTTTTTCCCCAACCTGAACGATTCTATGATTCTTAACGCTTCAAACCTCTCGCCGACTCTGGGTTTTAAGACTTTCCCGCATCGGGGAAATAAATTGTGCAATTTAATCTGGAGACTTGTTCAAGTTGCTGGAAAAAAAGCTGTTTTGGGGTGATGGGAAGAGTCAACCGTTGAACATCACGCATCTGCTTAACGGCTTAAAAATTGGCCTCGTAGGATGATGACGCCCCCCTCGACTTATCATCCCACGAGGGGAGGTTGTGGTGACCCTTCCGAAGCTGGTCATAACCTTAATCTGCTCTACACC